CCAGTCCTGCTTCCCTGAACATCGACGGTTGCCCAGGACCCCTAGTGCCTCGCGAGATCCTTCGTCAAGTGGACGACTGGAACATCAACGACATAACTCAGGCTTGCAGCAACAGCTTGCCCGAGCTTCAGGAGCGGCAGTGCATCGACCTGACCACGGCCCGGTTCGGCATCCCCTGGCCAGGGAACACCATCATCGATTCCACAGCGACTACACCATCGCCTCTTGGCAAAGTGCTTTACAGCGACTCGACAATTTTAATCAAGCATGGGGTCGTTCAAACGGGAGTGATAGCAGTGCGGTTCTTTACCCGTGAGCTGACGCCAGAGTTGCATCGCCATCGGGACCTGCCTAGGTGCACTACAATAACTTTGATGCCACTGGCCAGCTCCCTCATGGTCACGAAGAAGAGGTCGCCGATGCTCACGAGCGGACCTGGCACCGCGCAAAGCCGAGCGTCAGCCTGTGTTGGGAGAGCGCTTTCAGCCCGATGTGCACCAGGAGGCGTGACGGCTGGAACGTTTGGCGTCCCCTTGACTGAGGAATCACGATGGACGAAACGGTTCTTTGGCAAGCGCAGATTCCCTCAGGCGGTTATCACCTATGGGCCATTAGCCAGTCAAGGGTGATGAACCTCCTTTCGGGCACGGTGTGCGAGCAGAAGCTGACGGATCGTGCCGTATACTGACTGCGTGATGCTCTTTCTCTTGTATCATCCCGATTTCACCTCTTGGGAGGCGGCAGGGAGTTGTGACGGGATGAACGATCATTCAGCAGCCAAGCAGCCCGAGACAGGCCCTGACCTCGGAATGGGAGCGCGGCGTGACGACGATGAAGAGAGCGAGCCCTGGAATGATACACCTTAGGCGATGCTTAAGAAAACTTAAGTTTTCGGCCAGAGTCTCGATTATTCTTAACGTTTCAATGTAAATCCTAAGATTTTGATAGAATTGTGTGGTTTTTATTCAAGTTCTGAGACCATGAATTTCTTAACCCATGATTTCTTAACCATTTCGCGTGGTGTAGCCGCTGCGTGGACGCGGGCGCCGGGCACCGCACCGGACGCGCGCAGGCCTACACCTTAGGCGATGCGTAAGAAAACGTAAGTTTTCGGCCAGAGTCTCGATTATTCTTAACGTTTCGATGTAAACCTGAAGATTTTAGTAGAAATGTTGGGTTTTTATTCAAGGTCTGAGACTATGAATTTCTTAACCCATGATTTCTTAAGCATTTCGCAGGGTGTAACCGTGAAGAGGACTTCGCGCGCGTGGGCGCGGACAAAGGCAAGATTCATCGCAAGAGGCCAAGGTCAGCCTCTTATCGCGCCAGGAAGGGGGGGATTGGGAAAGGGGGGGTTACGAAATTTGCTGCATGCAGCTCGTTTCGGCCTCACCGAGGGGCCCATTCCTCGATACATAGCCGCCTCCGGCGCCGGGAGGCGCCGGGAAAATCAGCTACGCGAGCTGATTCTCAAACCCCCCCTTTGCTATCCCCCCCTTTCGCCCGACCCGATTATCGCGCCAGGAAGGGATGAGTTCAGAGAAGGAAAAGGTACCCATACCGCTACCCCTCGACCGCTTTCCCCTTTCTGGGCCTCCTGGGAGGCCCCCTCGTCACCACCGCTGTGGTCGCCTCGAAGTTCTGGTCAGAGCGCACCCCGGGAGAGGTCCAGGGGGTAGCGGTACCGGTACCTTTCGGTTTCCCCATGGCCGCAGCGGTACCGGTACCTTTCGATTTCCCCATGGGTGACAGTGAGCCGTGATGCATGTTCATGCTCTGTTTTGTCTTCAAGGCCACTCGCGCTCTGACCAGCGTGGCCTCATTTTGGTGTATGACAGCGTTTTGCGGGGCAGATGAAAGCAGTGCGGAGATTCCGCCCTATCGCTAGCGACCTTTTGTGCCATTATGTTATGTTCGGCATGTCTAGAACGTAAGCCAACACCTGCTATTTGCGTATTGTCTCTTGTGCCTCACGTGCGCGCTAGCTAGGCTAGGCATCGCTTTGCTATGTGCAAGTTGCAACGCTGTGTTGTCCATTCGCCAACGCCACCTGCGTGTTGAGTTAGCCCCAGCTCCTCTCAGCTGCATGCGAATCTACGTAGGAAGTTGCACGTAGCTGGCCCGACCTGGAGCACCAGGTCGAGGGAGGCCGTTTCAAGATGGGACCCTTGCAACCGTGGAGTTTCTGGCATGTGGTTCAAGTTTATCGCAGGACACGGTCGCTACCCTTCTTTTCACCTCGATTACAGGAGATCGTTTCTCATTGCCAGCGTCCTGTTAAATTAGCAGGAAGAGGATGAGGGGAAAGGGGGAGGGGGAGGAGGAGGAGGAGGAGGAGGAGGAGGAGGAGGAGGAGGAGGAGGAGGAGGAGGAGGAGGAGGAGAGTGGACTCCACTCTCCTCCCCGGCACTGGGTGCCCGAGGCCTCGCAGAGGGACCAGAAGATGGAGGAGCTCACCGTCCTCTACCACAGGCTGGTGAAGCAGAACGCCGCCCTGAAGGCAGCGGGCGCCGCCGACCCAGGAAGAAGAGGAGGAAGAGGAGGAGGCACCGAGGAGGAGCAGGACGCGGAAGAGGAGAGAGGGAGGAGGAGGAGGAGGAGGAGGAGGAGGAGGAGGAGGAGGAGGAGGAGGAGGAGGAGGAGGAGGAGAACCAAAAGGCGACCCCAATACTCATCAGCGTTATTGTAATAACACCTCCCTCCAAGTTCCTTTGTCATGAGCCCCTACAGGGGTGCATGTATACAGAAGGAAGTGGCCCGTTGGAAGGCAACCGTTTGAACAACTGCAGCTTCGCCAGAGCATCATTCCCGGGACTTCAACGATGCGAATCACCGTTATTGCTGCGTCTTGGCGATCCTGAATGGTGCCAAAAAACCGTTCCTGGGACATCAACGCCACGAATCAACGTAATGGTTGCGCCCTGACAGTGCGATATCGTGCTTCCTTCCGTCTCCGTCTCTGTGACGGTAACCAAGAGAGTATTTGAAATTGTTGCAAGCTCGTAGCGCGAATGTGCGCGGCGCTAATGCGACGACCACTTGTCGAAAAGGAACTGCCCTCCATCCGTGAAGCCCTTGCACGTTCCTAAACGTATGTGCGCGGCGCTCAGGCGAGGGCCACATTCTGAAAACGACACGCCCTCCATCCGGGAACCTCCTGCAGATTACTAAGACACGTGCGCGGCGCTGACGCGAGGGCCACATCTCGGAAAGGAACCGCCCTCCGTCGGCGAAGCCCCTGGAATTTTAGAGGCACCTGAGCGCGGCGCTCAGGCGAGACAACATTTTGAACACGCCCTGCCCCCCGTCCGTAAGACTCCGGCAACTCCGCGAGAACCACACGTTGAACACCACCCGCCCTGCCTCCGGGAGTTTGTCCCAATCCTCCCGTGTTGGGTTCTCGTTTTGCATGGAGCACTGTGGTCTCCACTCCTCTCCTCTCCTCCTCCTCCTGCCTCATGCCTCTTGCCTCCTGCCTCCTGCCTCCTCCTCCTCTCCTCCTCCACCACTCCTCTCCTCTCCTCTCCTCTCCTCTCCTCCTCCTCCTCCTCCTCCTCCTCCTCCTCCTCCTCCTCCTCCTCCTCCTCCTCCTCCTCTCCTCTCCTCTCCTCCTGCCTCCTGCCTCCTGCCTCCTACTTCCTGCCTCCTGTCCCCACTTCCTCATCGCCCTCCTCCCCTCTCTCCGTCGTCCCGCTTGCGTTGCAGCACCGTTGTGACTCTGCCTCTCTCGTGTGCTCCTGGGATGGGGTACCTCGCGGCTCCCTGGAGGGCTGCGACGTGCGCAGTTGTCGTCACTTCCGTGGGCTCCTGGGAGGTCGCGTGGAGGGGAGTTGCACGGGGATCCAGTTGGGACCTCGCGGTTCCTGGGGGGGCTGCGACGTGCGCAACTGTCGCCACTTCCGTGGGCTCCTTGAGAGGTCGCGCGGAGTGGAGTTACACGGGATACAGTTGGGACCTCGCGGCTCCCTGGGGGGCTGCGAAGTGCGCAATTTTCGCCACTTTCGTGGGCCCCTTGGAGATCGCGTGGAGGGGATGTACACGGGGATCCAGTTGGGACCTCGCATCTCCTTGGTGGGCTGCGAAGAGCGCAATTTTCGCCACTTCTGTGGGCCCCTGGGAGGTCGCGCGGAGAGGAGTTACACGGGGATCTAGTTGGGACCTCGCGGTTCCCTGGGGTGCTGCGAAGTGCGCAGTTGTTGCACCTTTCGTGGGCTTTGGGGAGGTCGCGCGGAGTGGAGTTACACGGTGATCGAGTTGGGACCTCGCGGCTCCTTGGAGGGTTGCGAAAGGCGCAGCTGTCGCCCTGTCGCCACTTTCGTGGGCTCCTGGGAGGTCGCGCGGAGTGGAGTTTAACGGGGATCCCGTTGGGACCTCGCAGTTCCTTGGGGGGCTGCGAAGTGCGCAACTGTCGCCACGTCCGTGGGTTCCTGGGAGATCGCGAGGAGGGGAGTTGCACGGGGATCCAGTTGGGACCTCGCGGTTCCCTGGGGGGCTGCGAAGTGCACAGCTGTCGCCACTTCCGTGGGTTCCTGTGAGGTCGCGCGGAGGGGAGTTACACGGCGATCCCGTTGGGACGTCGCTGCTACCTGGGGGGCTGCGAAGTGCGCAGCTGTCTCCGCCAGTGGTAAGCCACGATACCCCGTTCGGGCGAGCCATTTCCGTGGGCTCCTGGGAGTTCGCATCCACAATGGCAGGGGTTCCCATCGCGCGGCGCTGTCCCGCAACGCAGCGTTCGGCGCTGTCGCATCGCAGCTCGCAGGGAGCCGCTGTGCCACGAGCGCATGGCGCTATTTTTTTGCCCGCGTGGTTTCCCATTCTCAGCCGCTTCTGGCCCGCCATGCCACCCCGCGCGCTTGCCTCGCTCAGCCCGACGCGCTGTTCTTCTACAGAGCGAGCGCATGGCGCTGTTCTTTTCCGCGTAGGTCTCGCTCGGCGCTGTTGCTGTTATCGAACTTGTATGGCCCTCCTCCACGCCCCTGTGTATGCTTCTGTCTCCGTCTCTATTTTGCGTACTCCTGCATGCTTTCTTGCGTATTTATGGAAGCTCATGCGCACTCCGGGTCCTTCAACATGTCTGTTTGCAGTGATCGGTCCTATAGCTATTCTCCATATTGTAAGGGTTGGATGCATCACTGAGTAACCTTTTCCCCCGCCAGTGTTTCATCTTAGGCGAAGCGGCTGCTCCGCCCTTTTGATCGGCCCTGGGGTGCGACGGAAAAGGGGTTATGCACAAGGGCAAGGGAACGATGATGATGCTGCTGCTGATGATGCTGATGGTGCTGATGCTGTTGATGATGACGATCATGCTGGTGTTGGTAATGGTGATGGTGATGGTGATGCAGATGCTGCTGCTGATGATGTTGATGCTGGTGATGCAGCTGATGATGGTGATGCTGATTATGATGCTGATGCTGATGATGCTGCTGGCGATGATGATGGTGGTGATGCTGTTGCTGCTGCTGAGGATGATGCTGCTGCTGCTGATGATGCTGATGCTGATGATGATGATCGTGATGGTGCTGGTGATGCTGATGCTGATGATGATGCTGCTGCTGCTGATGAATATTATGATGCTGATGTGATGGCGTTGGTGATGTTGCTGCTGCTGCTGATGCTGATGATGATGCTGCTGATGATGATGCTGATGATGATGCTGATGCTGATGATGCTGACGCGGAGGATGATGAGGAGGAGGAACAGGAGGGAGATGACGATGAGGAGGAGGAGGATGAGGATGATGATGATGAGGAGGAAGAGGAGGCGCAGGGGGAGGAGGAGGAGGAGGAGGAGGAGGAGGAGGAGGAGGAGGAGGAAGATATAAACAAACAGAGGAAAAAGGTGGAGGGCGAGGAGGAGGAGGATGAGGAGTATGATGAGGAAGTGGAGGAAGAGGAGGAGGGATGAGGAGGAGGCGGAGGAGGAGGAGGAGGAGGAGGAGGGAGAGGAGGAGGGAGAGGAGGAGCACGAGGATGAGACGGAGGAGGAAGAGGAGGAGGAGGAGGAGGAGGAGGAGGAGGAGGAGGAGGAGAAGGAGAACGGAGGAGGAGGATCAGGATGAAGAGGATGAACAAGAGGAAGACTGGTCTGGAGGAGGAAGAGGAGGATGAGGCTGAGGATGAGTAGGAGGAGCAGGAGGAGGACGGAGAGACCGAGGCGACACAGGAGGCGGAGGAGGAAGAAGAGGAGGAGGACTGGTCTGGAGGAGGAGGAGGATGCCGATGATGATGATGCTGATGCTGATGATGATGCTGCTGATGATGATGATGCTGAGGATGATGCTGCTGATGATGCGGATGATGATGATGATGCTGATGATGATGATGATGATGATGATGATGATGATGATGATGATGATGATGATGATGATGATGATGATGATGAGGAGGAGGAGGAGGAGGAGAGGAGGATGAGGAGGAGAGGAGGAGGAGGAGGAGGAGGATGAGGATGAGAGGAGGAGGATGAGGAGGGGGAGGAGGAGGAGGAGGAGGAGGAGGAGGAGGAGGAGGAGGAGGAGGAGGAGAGAGGAGGAGGATAATGAGGAGGAGGACAGAGGAGGAGGATGAGGAGGAAACGGAGGAACGGAGGAGGAGGAGGAAGAGGAGGAGGAGGAGGAGGAGGAGGAGGGAGGAGGAGGAGGAGGAGAGGAGGCGGAGGAGGCGGAGGAGGAGGAGGGAGGAGGAGGAGGAGGAGGGGGAGGAGGAGGACGACGAGGAAGAGGGAGGAGGAGCAGGAGGAGGAGGAGGAAGGGGAGGATGAACAGGAGGGAGGAGAGGGGGGGGGGGAATTGGAGGAGGAGGAGGAGGAGGAGGAGGATGAGTGCATATATATATAATATATATATATATTCATATATATATATATGTATATATATATATACATATATATAGCAAGCGGTCGCAATGACCAGTGACGCAGCAGCTAACGCAACGCAGGGGGAGCAGGAAGGGGAGGCGCCACGGGCGGGGGGGCGGAGGCGGGGCGGCGGCGGGGCGCGCGCCTGTGAGCGACGGCCACGCCGTCGCTCTCCAGGAGCGCCGCCGCCGCACGGCGGGGCGCCGCGCGCGCGCTCGCCGCTCTCCCCCCTCTCGCACCACTCACCCCCAAACTACCGCTCTGGCTCTCCCCTCCTTCCCCCATGCACAGCTACCAGGAACCTTGCCCTGGGAGATCCTGGCCAGGGTCTGGACACCCGCCCTGGTGACCCTCCTGGTGCATCATCAGACAAATCACGCAGGTGGGATGAACTATACGACCCACAGACAAGACACCACAACATATCGGCCTCTGGCCAATAAGCCACATCATGAGACGGGTGGACCAGTCGGCCTCTCACACAAATGGCCGCCGACGGTCTGAACACGCCTCCCGACCATACCATCGGATAGCACGGAGATGACATAAAGGCCGTTAATTCAGAAGCCGATGCGGAGCATCCGCAAGCTTGGCAACGGGCGAAATCTCCACATATCATCGCACACTTATGATCAGCGGAACCCGCAG